CACTAACCAGACGGCAAATAATTCAACGTCAAGGACCAGAGCCCCTCTAGTCTCTCTTCCAGAGCTTCTGGTCTTCATGACCAGAGCCTCTGGTTGTACTAACCAGCACCTCTGACTCATATAATTTCTCAAAAATGGTCTTTAGATAAACCTTCAACCAATAAGATAGCCTTTTTCATAAAACGAGCAATTATAAAAAAATTCATGTTCGACCAGAACCTTTGGTTCTATTAACCAGAGCTTCTGGTTCCAAAGATATGACCAACCAGAGCCCCTCTGGTTCAATGTGAAAGTCAACCAGAGCTCCTCTGGTCTGTTTTTCATAAAAAGATTCTAAGTATAAAACTCATTTTCTTAAAACTTCAAAAGCATGATTTTGACATAGAAGCTCTTATCAAAAGATACAAAACCTTTAATCCAATTTAACATATATAGTAAAAACTTGCTCATCCTCCAAATCAAATACAAAACCTTTAGGACCAGAGCCCCTCTGGTTGTATTGACCAGAGCCTCTCTGGTTGAACCAACCAGACTTAGAATATATTTCAACACAGGACCAGAGCTATAATATCCGTGTTTTGTTAACTCGTACAAATTGGGTTAAGAAAATTTTGGCAGAATTATGCATGATATATTTGTACCCTATGCTTAACCAATTTGTACCCTAGGCTAGTTTTACGTCAAAATGTGTTTATACATATATTGACGTAAAAGTTGGGAATTTAATTTGAAGGGTAAAAACCGTCAAATAGTTAAACTTTATATATATATATATATATATATATATATAAGGCGGTTGTGTTTTTTTTTTTTTTAAATAATAAAATAATAATAATAAATATATATATATATATATATATGAGGCGGTGTATCACCGTCCTCATATCTCTCTCTCTATTCTCTCTCTCAATTCTCTCTCTCTAAAACCCTCTGTCTTCTCTCTAGATTTGGCGTTAAGTTAGTAAAGGGATCGAGACAACAATTATATATTCGGAATCCATTCTCCGTACCCTTCTTAAAGGTATAAGTTTCATTTAGTTTCAATAAGGTATTTATTTTAGGGTTATTTAGACCGGTTTATAAACTGTATTTATATCTAAGTTTACGGATTGATATTGTCATATTTATGATATATTTGATGTTTAGAATGCTAGAACTGGTTATATTGATGTAGAAATGRAAAAGGTATATTATCGTTTCAATATGGTTAGATTGTGGGTAAATGTTTAACCGTACACCAATTGTTCGGTTAATGTCGAAAGGAGTAAAAATGCATGATTAAGCTTGGGTTAACGACCGTTAGATCTGTTTTACTGTTTAGTATGTTGAAGTATGTTTATAGCATGTAAATGTAGCGAATCATGAAAGTTGGATCATAAAAGTTAGTCGGAAATTACGAAATCGAATTTTACCGACAATGCAACCCCTGTACTTTGGTAGTGTATAACTCACAAACCGTAAGTCGGATTAAGCTCGTATTTTGCAGTCAGGAAGATCATACTGCATACTACAACTTTCATTTAGACAGTATAGTCTGGATTGGTCTCTAAGGTAGGTAAAAATATTTAGAAATAAGAGGGTCGGAAACGGTTGGATCGAAAGAGAATAAAGTTAAGTTTTACGTTTGAGTTTTCAATTCGTATCCAGCTGTCCTTCTTGAAGTCTACGTTGTTTAAGTACGTTAAGACCTAAGTAATTTCAATAGAATAATTATGTTTCGATTTTTATGCTTTGTAAATAGTAACCGTTTATGCGTTCGTTAGGCACGCAGGTAAATCAAACTTGATCGTGAATTTACATTTGATCGTGCGTTATTTGTCAAATTCGGTTAAGGTACGGATTTCATATCTCACTTGACACGGGGATAGCCATTTGCATAAGGCTTCCTAATCCGGATAATCTGTGATAAATTCCGAATAATTTGTTTTGAATTTCCTTTATGC